TGATTTCATATCAGAACCAGTTTTAAATATGAATAAAAATGTCTTTAATTAAATCAACATGGTCACTGGACCACCCAGTGGAATTCCTCTCCACACAATAACAATTCTGTTTCATCACCTAGAAATTACATCTGCCTTTTTGTACCAATAATTATCATGTTGGCTACAGTTTCAAAATAATATAAGATGGCTGTCATAAAAAAAAACATTTCAGTATTTTATCACCATAACTTCTAATTATAAGTAATTCTTGGAAAGAGATCTGCCAGCTAAGGAGAAGGAAACAGTAAACCCAGCTCCCCCTTACAACTACTGCGTGAAGATTTAGAAGACCACTTTGAGCACACTGAAAGCCTGCAGCTCTCCAGTTAGAGCTGCCCCTGTTATCCTTTCACAAACAAGCCTCAGACATTCCCTCCAGAAGTATGGGCCTAAAGCAAAGTCTGAATTTGGGAAGTAAGGCAAAAAGAACAAACAAACAGCAATGACAAAAATCTATGAGCTATTGCAGCGACTAAAGATACTGAAGACCCTAACCCTAAAGAAAATGCTTGCAAAATATTTACAATCCAAGCCTCAAAGTAAAACAGAGAATAGGCACAAGTTCAACTAGAATTTCTGAAAGAAATTGTTAAGAAATAAAGTAGTCAACCAACACAACATATTAGGTACATAATATGTAGAAGAAAACAAACACAACAATCTAGTCTTTGATAAATGCAAAGACCCTAGCTACTAGGGTAACAACTCACTATTTGACAAAAACCGCTGGAAAAACTGAAAGTTTGGCAGAAACTAGGTACAGAAAACATAAACAAATCATAGGAGCAAGGAATAAATTGCCTTTCATATCTTTAAGATAAGATAAGAGTTCATGACCAAATAACGAAGGGGAGGAGAGGGGAAATGAAATAGACAACTCTGAATACACAAACATAGAAAGTTTTTGCCAAAAAAACCCCATTGCTTTCAAAAATCTGAAACTAGGAACTGGGAAACAATCTTTGCAGCAAATTTCTCATACAAAGATCTCATTTTCATGATATGTTGACTTGCTTCTCAGAAGCAAAGTTGATTAATATTCATTCATTGTCTATGGTATCTGTAGAAAAATGTGTTTCCTTGTTTATGTCTTTTAATTATCTATTTTTCTTTTGCTTTATCTGAAATCATCATTGCTACCCTTGTCTTTTTTACTTCAGCTGAAGAATAATAGATTCTGCTTCAGTCTGTTATTTTAACTCTGTGTCACTGCCAGCTCCCATTTTGTCTGGGTCTTCTGCCCTGGTTGCTCAACTGCATGCTTACATACTAGGCTAAAATCTAGGATCACCACTGTCCTCCTGAGTTCAGTGCCACACTGCTACATTTATGGAACTTGTCCTTTGCTCAGTACTCCAAAGGGCCCACACAGCAGCAGTTCTTCATCCTGGATCTGTGAGCCAGAAATGGGTAACAGGTGACTCCCTGTAATTCTTAGCTTTTCCTTTAAGTGTTTGAATGCATCCTATTCCATACATTTATGTTAAGTACATATGAATTCATGGTATAAGGCATATTTACTTTCCTTTGTATTATAATATTTGTTAAGAAATATTTATATTCTTTCTGAGGGTTTAGTACTCATGATTTCCTTTGGTTTAAGACTCTATTGATGTATCTACCTTTGCTTTGGACTTTTATTGAAGCTTTTTTTTCTTGGAATCTCTTGCTGTTTCTGATTATTTTCTGTATTCTTCTGTCATTCAGTTTCTGGCCCATTTACTTTGCTAGTGAGTATACCCCCCACACACACACATACACTAAAAGGCTGCCTCTTCCTCCTCAAGTTGAGGGATTTAGGATTTGCTGCCGTGGGTCCTTACTCTGAGAGACCTACTAGAAGCTTCTGTCCCCTATCCTCCTTGGGGACAGAAATGGTACATTGCCCTAGCTTCCCCATTGTTTTCTTCTTTTTTTTTTTCTTGTTCAGATTGAAATTGCCATTTGTGGTTTTTTTGTAAAGTAGGTGGGTGTGTTATGGACAGAGTCCCTTACTTAGGGCTTAGACCTCACCAAAAGGCAACTCATTTTTATCACCTTTCAGCTTCACATGGATGGGGAAGATGACTGTCACTCGTTAAGGGGAGATGGATTGACAAGAAATGTTTTGGTAGAGTATAAGCACTACTGCCAAGATAATTTCCAGGCACGAAGCTGCAAAATTTCTTCTGCTTCTGCTACAGTTATATGGAGACTGGTGGGGTAGTAGCCCTGAGAGAGTGCTTTAAAGACTAGAGTTCTCCTGTGTTAATTCATAAGGATTTTACCTTGTCAGAGTTTGTCTTCTTTCTCCTGTATACACTCCTGTGTTTAGTTATAACACTACATCTAATGCATATTTTTTTTGAGTGTTGGAGTGTTGAAGTGATTTTAAGAAACTGACCATTCCTCTATTTTGCTGGTTATGTAATCCAGAAGTGCTGTTTAACTTTTTATCAATGATTTGGATAAAGTTTTAGTGGACTGCAAGTTCAATATGATTCAGCAATATGTCAAAAAAAAAACCAAACCATTAGCATTAAGAGAAGCATAGCTTTTAGGAACAAGGTGGTCCTTCTGTATTCTTCCATTGTCAGAATTTATCTAGAGTATTGTGTTCCATTCTGGCCACCACAGTTTAAAAAAGGGATGAGCATCAGTGTGGGACACATTGAGTCTACATTACATAAGGATAGATGGAAGGACCTGGCTATATTTAGGTTAGATAAAAATAGCTTTATGGGGGCTAAGATAACTGTCATGTATTTGAAGGGCTACTGTGTGGGAAAGGGATTAAAATTTCTTTATTTGATCTCAAAGAATAGAAACAGGAAAGTGGGTAGAAGTTGCAGAGATAAAGTTAAGCTTGATATGATAAAAATCTTTATAACAATCAAAGATGCCCCAGAGTGGAATTGGGCTGCCTTGTGAAGTAGTAGATTATCCCTTCTTGCAGATTGTCAAGAAGCTTTTTGAAGAGCACTCATTGGGCATGTTATAGTGGAATTTCTTTTGGGTATAAGTTGGAACTATTGGGAGATCAAGTCCTTTCCAACTCTCAATTTATTGTGATTCAGATCACAAACTAGGAGTTATCTTTGGGTCCTCAGTCTCCTTCATCCCATAACCATTTTTGAAGTCCTGTAGATTCTACCTCCACAAAATCTCTCACGTTTATCCTCTTCTACCCACTAACATGGCCAATATCTTAATTCAGGCCTTTATTATCTCTCTTACCTGAACAATAATAATTGCCTTCTAATTGTACCCTTGCCTCAATTTGCTTTTTTTTCCAATCCACATAACCATCTGCTGTTCTATCATATAAACATGTGATCTTTAAAATTAATTTATTTATTATAGTTTTGGTTTTCAACATTCACTTCCATGAGATTTTAAGTTCCAAATTTTTCCCCATGTCTCCATTCTCCCCACCCCAGCTTGATATAGGCTCTACATATACATTCATATTGAGCATATTTTCATATTAGGTGTATTATAGAGAAGAATTAGAACCAAGGGGAGAAATCATGAGAAAGATGAAACAAACAAAAAGAAGAAAAAGAAAGAGAACAAACAACATGCTTTGATCTGCATTCAGACTCCATAGTTCTTCTTCTGGATGTGAACAGCATTGTCCATCATGAGTCCTTTGGAGTTGGCTTGGATCCTTGCATTGCTAAGAATAGATGAGTCTATCAAAGTTAGTCATCACACATTGTAGCTGTGACTGTGTATAATGTTTTCCTGGTTCTGCTCACTTCACTCAGTATCAGTTCATATATGTCTTTCCAGGTTTTTCTGAAGTCTGCCTGCTCATCATTTCTTATAGCACAATAATATTCCATTAATTCATGTACCACAACTTGTTCAGCCATTCCCCAACTGATGGGCGTTATCTCAATTTCCAATTCTTTGCCACCACAAAAAGAGCTGCTATAAATATTTTTGTACACATGGTTCCTTTTCCCATTTGTATGATCCCTTTGGGATACAGACCTAGAAGTGATATTGCTGGGTCAAAGGTTTTGCACAAAACTTATTGTTTTTCTTAAAGCATAGGCCTAATCATGTCATTCCCCTTCTCAAAATCCTCCAATGGCTCCCTATTGCCTCTAGGATAAAATACATTAAAAGCCCTTCAAATCTAGCTCCATATTCTCTTTTCAGACCTCTTCATACACTCTATATTTCAGCCAAACCGGTGTACTTAGTATTTCTTCCATAAAGTGTTGAGGCCATTTCCCATGGCCTCAGAATAAGTTAATGCTCCCTCCCTTGCCCCAAATGCAATTCTTTTTCACTTCTTCTTCTTAGTTTTCCAGCTTCCTTCAGAAATCAGCTCAAATACTACCTTATGCATGGAGCCTTTATTAATTCTCCCATTTTCTAGTATCTTCTTCCTTTGTATTTATTTGTCTGTGTTTATTTCATTTTCTCCCAATAGAATGTAAGCTCCTTGAGGGAAGAATCTGTCTTCTTTTCTATATTTGTATACTCAAAGTTTAGTGACCAACACATGTTGTTGTTGTTCAGCCATTCAATCATGTTCAACTTTTTGTTACCCCTTGGACCATAGCACACTAGGTCCTTCTATCCTTCACTATCTCTTGAAGTCTGTCCAAGTTCAGGTTTGTTGTTTCCATAACATTATCTACCCATTTCATCCTCTGCTTCAGTATTTGACCTTCCAGTGAGTGGTCTGAGCTAATTTCTTTAAGTATTGACCAATTTGACCTCCTTGCTGTCCAAAGGATTCTCAAATGTCTTTTCCAGCACCACAATTCAAAAGTGTCAATTCTGTAGTGCTCAGTTTTCCTAACAGTTCAACTCTCACAGCCATACATTGCTATAGATGTTTAACTAATGGATTGATTTGTCCACACTAAAATTCTTCAGTCATGACCTAAAATGCTGAATTAATATTTGCTTTTGGTTTTTTTTGTTGCTGTTGTTTTGTTTTGTTTTTACATTTTCAGGTGTACTAATGAAACCAAATTCAAAGCAGAAGAGTTATTTTGGGCTTACAATTTCTGTCCAACTCCATATGCCTGGACTGCACTTTTGGGCCTTATTTTATATCTCGTTTTCTTCGCACCTGGTAAATAAATGCTTCATTTTTATAACTGCTTAGTTGAGGAAAAGAAAAAGAAAATTTTGAATAGACAAGCTATTACTTATCAAGGTTTTTAATTTCTGATTTATTAAAGTTTATATTTTGCATTTCTGAGGAATGGGACCAATGCCTTGGACAGTGAATTCTGAAATCTATCCACTTTGGGCAAGAAGTACAGGAAATGCATGTTCATCTGGAATAAATTGGATTTTCAATGTTCTAGTTTCACTGACCTTTCTACATACAGCAGAGTACCTTACATATTATGGTAAGAAGTTTATTTTCTTCTTCTACAGTGTTTATTTCATGTATGTTACAACCGATAAGTGAAGATAATGATAATAATAGCTGACATTTATATAAGAATTTACAATAATTGAGGTCTTTATTTTCAATATCTCATTTGAACCTTAATATTATCTTGTGGCACAGGTAGTATTAGCCCCCTTTACAGGTGAGAAAACTGTTCAGAGAATTTAAGTGTTATCTTTTTATTTAATAATTACAGGGCTTGGGTGCAAATCCAGGTTCCAATGTTCTTTCCACTATATGCCATATCTTCTCTATTATTATTATTATTATAACTAGGATTTCATATCCTCTTTGTTTTCAAAAGAGCTTAAAAAGTTACGTGAATATGATTTTGGAAGAGAACTACAGAGGACTATGAATTACACATATCATAGGCAAACAATTCGGCATGTCTGAGGCTGGATTAGATGATCTTAAAGATTCTTTCCTATTTTGTTTCTCTGACATTCTGTAGAGAACTACTTCCAATATGTCTTTAGAAAGGTAGTAAAACTTGATAAGAGATCTCCATATATGGAAGAGAGATTTCACAAACAAAAATGTATCTTTCCTTAATGAATCTTCCTTACCATATGAATTTGTGAATGAAGCCAAAATTAAGAAAATATTGCAAAATTTACTGCCATGGGTTCATAGCTGGAAGGAATTTTACAAGCCACCTAGTTCAAACCATACCTGAATAAGAATTGCTTTCAAAACATCTTTTTTTCTTTTTCTTCTTCTTCTTCCTCTTCTTCTTCATCACCATTCCTAGAATTTAAACAGTACCTACTATATGCCAGTATACCAGATACTCTGCTAAGTACTTTACAAATATTATCTCATTTGATCCTCACAACAATCCTTCAAGTGGTCTTGCAGACTTCAGTACTTGAAGACTTCCACTGAGGGGAGTTTCTTTGGATAGCTGTATGGAGAAATATGTTCCTTACATCAAGCCTAAATTTGTCTCTTTGTAACTTTCCAACCAATATTCCTACTTCTGATCTTTGGTGCCAAGCATAACAATTCTAATCCCTCTTCCCTACAACACCTTTTCATATACTTGAAGAAAGGCACAATGTGTCTTTCTTATCTTCTCCAAGCTAAACATCTCTAGTTCTTTCAATGGCTTTTCACACTGACATGATCACCAGGACTTTTTTTTTTAACCACCTTCCTCTGCCACTTTCTAGTTTATCAGGGTCCTTCCTAAAATGTGAAGTCCAGAATTGAACATAATACTCCAGATGTGGTCTGAACAGGACAGAGTATAGTAAGACTATCGCCCTACCAAGCAAACTTCCTAACCTGGACACTGTGCTTCTCTTAATGCAGCCCAAGATTACATTAGTTTTTCAATCTACCATATCACACTCTTGACTTACATGGAGCTTGAAGTGTACTAAAACCCTCAGGAAATTTTTTAGACAAACTGCTATCTAGTAATGACTCAGTGAATCAGTAAACACTTATTAAGCATCTACTATGTGCCAAGCACTGGACTAAGTTCTGGAAATACAAAAAAAAAAAAGCAGAAAACAGTCCCTGCCCTCAAAGGACTAATAATTTTCTGGGGTAGACAACATGCAGACAAATATGTAAAAAGCAATCTATGTACAATCTATATAAAAATAAGAAATTATTAAAAGAGTGAAAACACTACAATTAGGAGGAGTTAGGGAAGACTACTTGTAGAAGGTGAGATTTTAATTAAAACTTAAAGGAAGCCTGGGAGGTTAGTAGAGTGGAGGAAGGAGAGCATTCCACACAGGGAGGACAGCTAAGGAGAATGTCCACAGCCATAGATTTGAGAGGTATATAATCTGTTTCTTTTCTAAATTTTTTTTGTAGCATGAAATTCAATATTATGGTCATATATTTATTAGAATGTATCATGGAATACAGTGTTTGTGTGGGTGTAAGCCTGCTACCAGATTGCTTTCCAGTTTTCCTAGCAGTTTTTATCAAATAGGGGTTCTTTCCTAAGTAATTTATGTTTTCTACTTAATTGAACATTGGGTTACCGAGTTCCATTGTTTCTGATTCTCTCTTGCCTTGTCTGTTTCATTGGTCTTTACTTTTTTAACCAATGCTAGATGATTTTGATGACTACTGCTTTATAGTATATAATTTGAGTTCTAGAAATGCTATTCCCTCTTAGTCCCTAACTCTTTTCATCATTTCCCTTTGTATGCTAAATCTTTTGTCTTTCTAAATGATTGCTTTTATTTTCACCCAGACCTATAAAGTATCCCCTTGATGATTTGATTGGTGTAACATTTAAAGTATAAATTAACTTTGGTATTTTTATAATTTTATTATATTAGCACCATTTATCCATGAGTACTGGATTTCTTTCCACTATCTAAGTTGCCCTTTACTTCTTTAAGGAGCACTCTGTAATAGAATCCATATAAATTGTTTCTATGCTTTTTTTGTGTTTTGAGTCAATCCCAGACATTTTATGCATCCTGTAGCCATATAGAATGTTATTTCCCTTTCTATTATTGTCTCTTATATTTTGTTATTCTTCTGCAAAAATGCAATTATTTTTGAAGGATTGTTTTGTAGTCCCCAACTTTACAGAAGCTATTGATTGTCTCAGTTATCTTTGCTGATTCCTAGTATTTACTAGTATTTTATATATTATACAAATATTTTTATATATTACTAGTATTTCTAGTAAACTATCACATTATCCCCTCTTTACCTAGCTATATGTCTTCTGTTTTTTCTCTTGTCTTATTATTATTGCTAGCATTTCCAGAACTGTATCAAGTAATAGTGAGATTTAATCCCATATTTATTGGGAAAGTTTCTAGTGTATCTCCAAACATATCATGATTACTTTCGATTTTAGATACACACTTACATACATCCTTCAGTTCCATATTTAAAAATGATTCCTCTATGTCTATACTTTGTAGGGTTTTTAGTATAAATAAGTATCATGCTTTGTCAAAGGGTTTTTTCTACATTATAGTAATCTGGTTTGGGATGTTTTATTTTTAATATGATTATGTTAATTATTTTTCTAGTATTGTGCCATGTATGTCTCCCTGGTACAAATACAAGTTGATCATAATGAGTGATTTCTTGGATGAATTGCTGTGGTCTGTTCGACAAGATTTTATTTAAAATTTTTAAATTGAGAGGATTCTGGGAAGATAGTAGGAAGGAAGGTCAGAAAATTCCAAGCTCTTCAGATTTTCCCCACAAACAAGACAAAATGGCTCCTTAGTGTGAACATAGAGTGGTAAAAATAAACAAGAGTTGGGGCAGAATGGTGGTCCTCCTGGGACAATGGAGAAGATCCAAAGAAAAATTCCAAGACCAAGGTTTACTAGTTCTGCTGAAACAGCAAGTGGCAAGTCCTGAGGTTAGCTGGGTTGGGAGATAACCTCAGCCCCAGCCACAGGAATTTTCATGTCTCAGACAGTGTGAGGAGCTGGTGTCTGTGTGGGAGAAGGTTGAGGGAAAGTCTGCTGATAAGGGATGCCAGCTTCTGAGAAGCTGCCTTGGGTGAGGAGGAACCAGCACATGCCCAGGGAATGCAAAAGCAGGATGCTGCTGGCTGTGGGCACTTACACAGGAGGGCAGAGTTCAAGCTTGGTTTCAGTTCCAGGCCAAGAAGGGAGAACTGAAGGAGGATCTGAGGACAGAGGCACCATCTCCTATACTAGACTAGAGGTGATTACAATAATAAGCTGCTACAAATATAAAAAAATGAACAGGCAAAGGAGTAAGAACCCAATTATAGAAAGTTACCATAGGAACAGAGAAGAACAGGGTTTGTCTTCAGAGGAGGATACTGAAGCAAAAAAAAAAAAAGCCTCTCTACCCCAAAGAATAAGGTCAAATGGTCACCTGCCCAAAAAGAATTCGTAGAAGAGCTTAAAAAAAGCTTTAAAAATCAAATGGACAGGTTGAGGACATTTTAAAAAATATGAACAATCCAAGAAAAACAAGATGATGAAAAGAAAGCCCACCAACTAGAAAAATAGATCAAGAATCTTTTTTTTAATTAACTTATTTTTAGTTTTCAACAATCACTTCCATATGCTTTTGAGTTTTAAGTTTTTCTCCCTCTCCTTCCCCCCCCACCCCAACAGTGTGCAATCTGATAGAGGCTCTACATATACATTAGTCATGTTGTAACGAAGAATTAGAACTAATAGGAGGAACCATAAGAAAGACGAAACAAAACAAAATAGAAGAGGAAAAAAAGAGCAAATAGTATACTTTGATCTGCATTGTAACTCCATAGTTCTTTCTCTGGATGTGGATAGCATTTTCCATCATGAGACTTTTGGAGATGTCTTAGATCCTTTCATTGCTGAGAAGGGCTATGTCTATCAAAGTTAGTTGCCGCACAACATGGCTGTTACTGTTGCAATATTTTCTTGGTTCTGCTCACTTCACTCAGCATCGGTCCATACAAGTCTTTCCAGGTTTTTCTGAAGTCTGCCCACTGATCATTTCTAATAGCACAATAGTATTCCATTTCATTCATATGCCACAACTTGTTCAGCCATTCCCCAGTTGATGGGCATCCCCTCAATTTCCAATTCTTTGCCACCACAGAAGGAGCTGCTATAAATATTTTTGTACATGTGGGTCCTTTTCTCATTTTTATGGGAGATCCAGAATCTTAAGGAAGAAAACAACTCTTTGAAAATTAGAATTAGAAGGGGCAGCTAGGTGGCGCAGTGGATAGAGCACAGGCCCTCAAGTTAGGAGTACCTGAGTTCAAATCCGACCTCAGACCAAGCACTTGACACACTTACTATCTGTGTGACCCTGGGCAAGTCACTTAACCCCAATTGCCTTTAAAAAAAAATTAGAATTGGACAAGGGGAAGCCAGAGAAGTTATAAGAGACCAAGAAATAATAAAACAGAATATAAAGAATGAAAAAAATAGAAGAGAATGTGAAACATCTCATAAGAAAAGCAATTTATCTGAAGGACAGATC